CATACGTAGAGCACAAGGTACATGTATATATATTTACATACGTAGAGCACAAGATATGCATATATATATAAATATATATATATATATATATATATCATACATGCAGTATTATATAGATTTATAGTTCATGTATCATACCGTATATTTAATAAGAACTCACGTATATATAATCTTTATTGTAATATATATACAAATATCAACAACTGGGTCAATTATGGGCTTCAAATGCTATTGATTTTGGGGCCAAACCACGTTGGGCCATTCTGATCGGTTCTGCCTCTACTACTATATAATCTTTATTATGTAATATATTATGATATAATATATGTTCATAATTTTTATACCAATTGATAATATGTACGTACCTTACAAACATAGTTGCTTAAGTCTAAAACATCTAAAAGAAAAAAAACAACATTTTCTTTTACGACTAAATACAATTGATGGGTTCTAATCAATCGATATTAAAATAGGTTAGTTGACATAATAAAATATTTTACTCATTGTAGCCGCAGGTGGACCGCCAACAAGTAGGTTGTACCTACAATTACCCGAACAGATGAAATAGGATAGTTGCATTTTACCAACCACTAGCAAATGGTGATCCCTCCAAGGTTTAAGCCTTGCAATAATCGTAACCGGGTTTGAAATTGACTAAATTCTGCAAACGCAATACTTGTCCAAATAATTCTGTCTCCTTCAAGCTTTGCAATTAAAATAGATTAATGTAATAAAGCAGACAAAATTAGTGTACGATCCATGTTTCGTACAATAAATTAAATATACATAAAAGAGTAGATCACTGTCGCGTCACCATTGACGTAGATTTATTTTTAATCATTTTTTCTATTTTTATTATATTCATACTATTTTTTTATTTTATAGTTATGTATTAGGTAGATTTCAACGTTGGACAATTGTAAGAAAGAATAAATGTTAGGTAGCAAGTACATATTTATGTAATTAAAAATAAATAATTAAGTAGAATCTAATAGTTAAAAAAAATTGAAAGTCTTAATCCTCCTCTACAACTATATTTGTGTACTCTAATTGGGAAAACATAAATGAAGAATTGACAACTGTATAATTATATCAATTTTCACATGTCCTCTTAAGAATTGTAAAATATAATTGAAAGATACAAATTATATTTAATTCAATAAAATTTATAAATTATAATGATTGAATAATTATATATATATATATATATATATATATAATTATTCTGAAATTTAATTATGATATGAATTTAAACGCAGCCTTAAGAAAAACAGAATTAAGCGGGAACACATAAAACGACATGATAACATAAAACATAGCATGCAATGTTCTCTTCAAAAATGGTAAATTAATCAGACACACATGTGGGTGTTTTATTTGTCTCTTTTGGGCACTAATTAAAGTTTTAGCTGTAGGCTGTCATTGCCATGCCCTTGAGTTAATTGCTTGCACCAGAAAATGACACTAGAAAGCTGCAGAACATAGGCCTGATTTCACGCCTCATGTCTTTCTGGTTTATTTGTCTTTTCCTGGTTCTGGTAGCCATAATTTTGGCACTTTTTATTTGGATAGCCATTTTTGTTTTCGCGTTTATCCGTAGAAAACAGTGAAAGGTGCTGCATGTAAACTAAGCTGGCAATGGTCCAACAGAAACTAAATATGAAAGGATTATGTAAGAACGAAAGACCCCATGCTTATTTTTCCATACCATTCGCTACTATATTACCTTTACGAGGTACGTGAAACAACTTCAACCTACAATCCCGGTGAGATCATTTCCGTAGCCGCCGTACCTTGCTCAAGTAGTGACCAAGCATCCTTGCTATAGATCTCGATCACAACGGCCATAAAATCCATATCCCATGTAATGATAAATAAAGTAGATACAAGCATTGCTATAAAAATTGTTTTATTGGCCCCTAATATGCAATACATAGCATTAATGGAGTTTGGCGTTTTGCATTGTAGAAGGTGGGCTGCGTCTTCAATTCGGACACTCAGCGGCCAATGCACAAGCGGGATATGGGTGGTTTAGTGTGTTTTTGAAAATTTGTTATGGTGTCGTAATATGTGTTAAACAAATCACATTTCGGATTGTTTCATGCTATGTGAGATCTCTTGAAAATTGACTGAGGCATTTCCCCATTCCATATAGGTTTAGAGAGGTTATTTTTTATGAGGCCTTAATCTTTGTTGTGTTTTGTATGTCACGAGTGTTTAATGAGTTAAGCAGCTCGAACTTAACTCGGTTAAAACTCGATAAAAGATCGAATTGAATTGACTTGACTCAAACTCGATCTCGACTCGAGACCTTAACGAGCTGAATCGAGCAAACTCCAACTCGACTCGATAATTCGCGATCAGTTTGTTAATTTTTTTAATAATTTTTTAGTAGTTATCTTAACAAATTATTTTATTCAAAAATTACTAATTTACTAATAGATAATAGAAAGATGATAAAATGAATAATCTATTGTTTTTCTAATCAATAATAAAAAATACTAAATTAATAATTATTATTTTACTACACTCAAAAATCAAACCTTAATTATTATTTTAATTTATTTTGTGGATTATTATTTTGGAGTTTAGACTTTTATTGTGTTTCATACACTCTTTTCATAATTGTTTTGGTTAAATTTATTAATTTATGTTTATATTAAGTTCTATATAATATTAGTAGATTTTACATACGGTTAAAAAAATAAGTTAAAAATTTTGGTGAGCTTAACGAGTAATGAGAGAGTAACGAGCTTAATGAGCACGAGTTGAGCAATAATTTTTTTAAAGAGCACAAGTCGAGTAAAATTTTAACGAGCTTAAAGAGCTACAAGTCAAGTTGAGCAACAAATTCTTTTAACAAGCACGAGTCGAACACTACCCAACTCACGATGGACTCGTTCAATAAGCACCCCTATGTATGTATATGCAATCGAATACAATACAAAACTCTCCTTTCAAAAATAAAATAAAAACAAGGAAGAAGAAAAAAAAAAGTACTCCATAGATTTTGATATAATCAAATCTAACAAGGTTGAGTTTTTTTTTTACGAAATACATATTTTAGGTCAGAATAAATTATTTTAAAAAAAATTTAATTGTGTTAGATTTATATTAGGGAGAATATACCCCATTTCGCAATAAATATAAAAGAAACTCTTTTATGAATTTATATATTATTAATTAAGATTTGATAAAAACATAAATTAAATTTAACACATAAAATATTGAAATTATAATATTAGATTAAAATTTACTTTTTAATAATAAATTAAATAAACTATTATTTTATTTAATTAATTTTTTATTTTGATAAAAAAAATATGTGAAAATTATAAAAACATATTAAATCAAACTAGAATCGAAATTCTAATTTACTATCATAATTTCGAATCAGAACTGAATAAGCAAAAACTCCATTTATCCGATTGATGTCCCTATTTAAAACAAGTAATTAATTAGAACCTTAATCAAAAGTCAGCAAAATTTTCGTTATATTTTTTACATAAAAATACTTTTTATCGATATATAAAATTTAAATATGGTTTTATGAATATGTATTAAATATGTCAACGTTAGTATATAAAAACTACAACCTTAATCAAATTTGTACGGTTTTCTTCAAATTTGTACGGTTTTCTTTTTAATAGAAAATAAGATTAAAAAAAAGGAATAATTTGTCCCAGTTATCTTGAAAAATATTTATATCAAATTACAATTTTTAATATTGACTTTGAAGAACTAAAATTTCATACATTGCGCCGACTACTAAGACGTTCTCTTTAAGAAATAGAATAAATGTCCAACAATTTCAATGTAGTAATTTTTTTAGCATATTATTTATTTTTTAAAAAAAGAATTATCAATAAAAAACATAAATCACATTTCTTAAATAATTGAGATATGAATTACGACAATAATACTAAAGGAAAAATTACAAAATTAATATGCATAGCACACGTTATTTTAGCATATTATTTATTTTTAAATATTTATAATTATATTTTATAATATCAATCTTTTAAATTCCTTTTTAAATAAATTCTAGGTAAGTTAAATCCACCCAAATATTCTCTTGATTTTATTATTATCACCAAACTATTTTTTAAAATTATATCTAAATTTATATTTATATTTTATTTTGGTCTCCTGTCGTTAAAGAATAAACATAATTGTTAATGTGTCATTTTATTATTTCAATGATGATGTGATATTATCTTATGGTAACACATCAATATCATTGTTAATTTTTTAACAACAGGTGAACAAAACGAAATAAAAACATAAGTTAAATGACTAAAACGAAAATATGTAAATATTTGAGTGGGTAAATACATAGATTACCCAAAATTTTGTAGGGTAAATTACATGTATAGTACCTAAATTATAAACTTTAGTATATTTTAGTACTGATACTTTCAATTTTTTCAAGATCATACCTAACGTTTAGTTTTTATTTCATTTTAGTATCCCACCATTAAAAATTTAACGAGTTTGTTACCTAAACTATCAGTTTTAGTCCGTTTTATACCTAAGCTTTTAAATTTTTTTCAAAACTTAACGTTAAGTTTCTAACGGATATTAAAATGAAAAAAAAACTAAATATTAGGTATGATTTTGAAAAAATCAAAAAATAAAATATTAAAACAGATCAAAAAATAAAATATTAAAATACATCAAATTAATAATTTAAATACTAAACGCGTAATTTACCCTATTTTATATTAGTTGATGGTCATTACAGACAAACATGGTAACATGTTAAAACAAGAAGAAAAAATTATTTCCTTTTTGGTCCCACTCTCCCAAGTCATTACAGCGCGCCTGCTGCCGACCATTACCATATCTTTCCTGCATCTCTGTTTTTATTATTACATCACACTAAACCTAAAACCTGTCAACTTAGAATAATCTTTTATATAAACATTTCTCAATCTCCTCCAAAACAATCGATCCTTATTCTCTTGTCCTTCTTCAATCCTCGGACCAAAACATCCAGCCACTGCCCCATAACCTCCAATCTCAAAATCCCTGAATAAAAGAAACACAAAACGAACAAGAAACAGAGGCATTAGCAAATCTGACCGGCACCCATTTGTTTCATTTTCATATTTCGACGTAAAGATCATGAAGAAAACCAGAGGGTTCAAGCTTGGGCGCAAGCTAGTGAAGGTTTTCAAATGGATAATACGGCCTAGGAGAAGAAGAAACTTGAGGAATAGTTTGTTGGGAAGCTACAACCCTCTATCAAGACTCCGCTCTTTTTTTCGACGGGGAACCAAGGGGCTGTGTGATTCGGACTCGGATCCGGGTTACATTCAACTGGGCGGAAAGGAAGCGAAGCGGGTTGGAGTTCCGAAGGGGCACCTTGCTGTGTACATCGGCGAATCGGACGGTAATACGAGGAGGGTGCTGGTGCCTGTCAATTATTTTAATCACCCTCTTTTTGGTGAGCTGTTGAAGAAAGCGGAGCGGGTTTACGGGTTCAGTCAATCGGGTGGAATCACGTTGCCCTGCGGAATTTCCGAGTTTGAGAATGTTCAGATGAGAATCGCCGATTGGGATCATAGCCGCCGGAGACAACACCGCCGTTATTTGTAGTTACACGTTTCGCCCCTAACTTCGGTGGCGGATAAAATTTGACTGTAAATATAGAAAAGAAAACACAAACATTTATTATAAAAGAGAACACACAATTATAGCATTCTATCCTTTACTATTAAGTGTTTATTTTGGTAATTAGTAAGCTTAATTAAAGTTAATTTTACCCTATTGATCGTTATTACAAATATACAGTTACATGCAAAAACAGCATTGTAAAGACTAATTCAACCTTGTATCTTTTACTTTTGTAATTCAACTTTGTTTAGACTTTTAATACCCATAAATTAGTTTTATTTCGTAACGTCGAGAAACTAGAGCTCCCATGTGCTGAATCAAACAGAAGAAATGCATAATTGTTAGATCAGAACAATAGCATCACGATGATGAGAGTTGGACCGGTTAGTCGGTTAATTAAGTGGCTATTACAATAATTAAGATTCGCATTCACACATCTGGATTTGTTTAATAACTATTCTTCGTAACATGACAAAGATGCCCGGTCTACATGAAAAACTGTAAACAACATCTTGTTGAACTCTTTTCATTGTATAGATCATTAACTTATATAAATAGTTAATTCTTTTTCTTAAAATATGAGTTCAACCAACATGGCTTTTCTTTCTTCTGATTGCAACAACACAAAGTAATCCGTAATCCAAAATTTAGATAGCTCATGGGGTCAAAAATCAGAACAGAGGACCCCCCAAATCCCAATTACAAACTGTTTAACCTGTCAGATCGGTGCATATCTTTGGAACATTATATTTGGGGTCTGGGTTTTGTCGATTGATGACACACTTTCTTTCTGTCTCAATATATAATATGATTGCAAGATCTTTGATTAATCAAAAAAATCCAAAACTATGATCTTATAACAAAAATAAATTGATTCCCAATAATAATGGTAAGAGGGGAAGAACATGCCTAGAATGATGAATATATAGGTCAACAATCAAAGAAACTAAGACAACAAATTCCAATCACAGTTGTTGATTTTATAATAGATTTGATGACCTCACATGTATTAGTACCAAATCTTGGCCTTGAACTAATCTTTCATTTACCCCTACTAATCCATGTACCTAAGCCCATTTTTTTCTCTGTACTTTTGGACTTGATACTTAGAAAACAAAAGCGTTTCCTTTGTTTTTCGGGAAACATATTTATGTATTCAGCAAGTCCTCTTGAAAGGTTATTTTGTATGATAATATGCATTAATATTCATCAATCAAGCGCTATACCCATGGTTTGAAGGATGCCATGGTCTCGGATCACGGCCACCGCATGCTGCGACACACGCTTCTTCCATTAAGGACCGAGAAACACCATTGTTGCAAACGTTGGCAAATGCACGCATGTGCTTCATTCCGTATTGAGTCAGTGACCCACAGTCTGTTTCGAACAACCGGACCTGGAGTGAACATTTGGTTTACAACTTAATTGAACGTTCAAGACCAGAAGGAACATGACTAGTTAAACAAGTGATGAACTCCGGAGGTGGAGGAGGATCCATCCCAGGACAATAAGTTCCCCAACTACTCTCTTGGGCATTCGATGCCGTTGTTACATAAATGTTAAGATCATTTGGCATTATGCCTTCGAAGATACTTCCACTCTCACATGCTTCTACATATATAACCTGGTCAAATCAGAAATGCAACATAAAAGGTCATCATCATACAAGTAATTTTCAACAAAAGATAATCGAATTCATCGAACTGCAGAGGATTATTGATTAGTATTGAAACTAGAAGATCAGTTACCATCTCTCTGTAGCTTCCAGCTGCATGTTTCTTCTTCAAGACATCAAGAAAATCCATGGCATACAGCAATGGCATATTTGGCATCCCTGGAACTCCGGGGCCTCCATGATCGGAGTAGTATATGAAGATTCTGTCATTGGGATGGCTATCGACAACCTTTCCACTTCCACCACTCAATGCACTTTTGTTACCAAGAAGAACTGCATACAAATTTTCAGCTGTAACATGCTCACCGGTGTAATCCTATCATTCAATACAGTCCCCTCAATATTAACTATAAAAACTAAGTAGGCTCAATATTAACTATCAGTCTATCACCTTAGGAACACCAGCATAAACATCATCGCCTTGGGGATGGTTGATGATGATTCCAGGCCTTGGATTCAGCTCATTCATGGCTATGTCATCGCACATAAATACGATGATGTTCTCTTCCTTCAATCCTCCTTTCCTCAACAGCTGATAGGCGTGGCATACATCTGCCTGCACTTGCATCAGCCATCCCATGTAATCAAACCAGTATTACAGGCTAAAAATAAGTGGGATTATATTTGATAAATGCTTTATTAATATTTACCTGATGCCTGTAATTACCAAAGCCAGCTGAACCAACCACGAGAACAGCCCATCTTGTTCCAAGCTCCTGATTATCTACACCCTGCGGCTCATCTGAAGGCAGTCGGATCCCAGACTCCCAGTGGTTCAACCGGGCGGCTCCACCGACGTTTGTGGCTTCAAAAAGCAATAACAGCAAGAGAAGTAAAGAGGGGTTGTTGTGGAAAACAAACCCTTGTTTCCCCATGGATGTTTTTGATGTAAAACAAGAGAAATAATAAGGGAAAGAAGGGGGCAGTGGGAGAGAGTATAAAAATGGAGGTGGGGGATGCCATGCAAAACAACAGGTTGACACGTGTGACGAATGTTCAGAACCGTGGGCCCAAATTATTGATTCTTCGAACAAATGTCGACAATTTCTGGTCTGTGATGACATCAACACATACGTTTGGCTGTTGGTATTTCTTCTGGGGTTTGAGTTGCTTATAAATCTGATGGTTTAGGGAAAGGAAAACAGTATTAAGGGGGTGTTTGGTTAAAGGAATGTAGGATTTCCATGGGATGGGAATCTCACATTCCCATGTTTGGTTGGTCGGGAATTTCATTCCTGGTAATGTTTTATTACCAATAGTAGATTTTTTTGGGTATATTACCGGGAATGTCATTACCTCCCTTCCCTTAGGTATTGTAATATTACCGGCGTTTTGGACTAAAATGTCCTTAAATTTTTATTTTTTTTCAAAAATATCCTTCTTCTGTCATTGAATAATAAAAATTCTATGAATGTTAAATTACAAATTTATCCTTAAATTATTTTAGATTTACAAAAAAAAGTCTATAATTAAAATTTTATATGAAGTTTAGGGGTTAAATTTTTTTTACCCTTTCATTAAACATTTTTTATATTTTTAATTTTGTAAAAAAAATATATAAATATTATGAATTTAATTTTTTAAAGAAAATATATAAATATTTTACAATTTGTAATATTATACAAATATATAATAAGGACAATTTGGTCAAATATACATTCCAATAATCTTTTATTCCTTTGACCAAACACGGTAATCTTACATTCCTGCTAAACCAACCAAACACAAAATACAACATTCCCAGTAATCCTATTCCCTGGTAATCTTTTATTCCCACTGGTAATCTTACATTCCGTGAACCAAACGCATCCTAAGGACAATGATATGCTTGGAAGCATGGTTTTTAAAATCGGACCGGTTAGCGAACCGGTTATGCTATCGGTTCACTGGTTTAACCGGTCGAATCGGTCGGAAAAATCGGACGACGTCATAATTATTTAAAAAATTAAATAAAAATATCAAAAATATTTAATAAAAAATAATTTTTTATATCATAAGTCATATTCAAAGCAAATCATAACACATATATATAAGTTAAAAACCATAAAATCAAGTGAAACAAAATGATTCAAATTAACTACAACATAATATTTAAGGTAAACATATTAAATAATAAATATAATTATATAACTATAATTAAAAAATAAATTTGGGGCTAAAAAAAAGCATAACAAAATGATATTGTTTGGTTTATTTTTTTTTAAACAATCCCACATGATTAAAAAACATAGAAGAACATCCCAAAAGTCTAAAGAGTAAAAATATGAGAACAAAACAATCTCACATGGCTAAGAAACATAGAAGAGCATCACAACTAACTTCTATAAATAATAGAGGTAATTTGACATTCAAAATCATGGAGCCTTTTGATGAGCATTGAGTGAACTATTCTTTCACTTCAATCAAGCTCGAATTTTAAGCTTCAATTGAGTTTCTAAATTTTTTTTGAGTTCAAGTTTCAATATTATATTTCGAGTTTGAGTTGAACTTGATAATTTTTAGCTCGTGAGTTTGAGTCGAGTTGAGCTTACTTTTAAAGTTTTCAAGTTCGAGTCGAGCTCAGCAATACCCGAGTTTGACTTGGCTCGTTTAACAAACGAAGTCGTTTGGTTTAATTTTTAAAAAAAACAAAATTGACGATTTTTTCCGGTTTTTCCGGTTTTCAGCCGGTCCGGTTCGAACGGTTCAACGGTTCTGGCCGGTTCACTAGTAGCGGTTCAACCGGAGTAGATTGAACCGAACTAGACAACGATTCCCGATTGAACCGACCGGTCTGATCCGATTTTCAAAACACTGCTTGGAAGCAAAGGGTTTGATAGGGTGGAAGCTTTGACTGCCTCTGACTTGGAATATAAGTTCCTTCCAATATCTGTAAACGCTATAGTTCAATGATTAAGAAACATGCTTCATGGGGACACTCAATCCCCCTTATTGTAAAATTGGTAAAACTATAAAGAGGCCCCTCTTCAAATTATCTATTTATAAGTTAATGGCTGAACGATAAAAATTATATTTTGCTCCCTAAAACAATGAAATGGTGGTTTAGTTCTTTTAAAAACTGTAAAATTATATTGTACTAAAATCATATTTTAACTCTAGCTATGTGTATAATTCAAGTTCAGTCCCTAGAAAAATTATCTTACCCATGAAAATCTTAACAACCACCAATCCTCTAACCAGCCTAGCCCAATTACAAATAATGCAAAACCTACTAAAACGAAAGATAGAGGCCCATTTCCCCTTGTTTTCTGCAGAACAAGTAGGGGGGGTATTTTCATTTAAAGGACCGAGTTTCTTGCTCTTGGTTACAAGACGATAATGTACATTGAGACTAGCCAATGAGGAAGGCAAAACCAGACAATATACATAAGCTAAATGCAGGGTCTGGCCTCCAAACATTTAGTCAACAGTCAGGTATACATCATATGGAGCAGGGGAAGCTAACTCAGAACTTGGAGTATCATACAAAGTGCTGTTCAGCTTATGAAACGATCGCCATTCGTCCATCACTATCATTTTATCTGGATTCAAGCCAGGAAGTGGTGTTTTATGGAGGAGTTTCAGAATCGCTTCGGTTTTCCCCAGAACATGAGCTGCATGCCGCACACTTTTTTCCCTTTCTTCTATCGCGGTGGTCGAACACTTGACCGTAATGAACTGCTTTAAGTTGGTGAGACAAGCAGCCAATATATCGGAAACCATCACGGTTATGGCTTCGAATAATTTTTCCTCCATCCTGTAATGTTTGGCTTCGTAGTCTAGCAAAATGGATTGACATATTCTATACATGGAATTAGCAGCCAATACTTTGATAGGCCACTTTGAAGGGTCATCCAGTAGGCACAGATTCGCATTGCACTTCTTAAACTCCATGAATATGCTCTTTGCTGAATCAGAAAGTACTTGCAGTATTTCATTTGTGTTTTTTCCTTGGAGAGACAGTTTGCGAAGGTCGACATCTAGCCACCTATGATACAACTCAACTCCTAGCCACACAACATCCGCGGCCTTCCTGCTGTTTACCATATTCCCTTGCATATCCTCAATGTTTCTGACATACACCAAACCTTCATTTACTCCAGCTATAAGACGTTTCATCGAGCACCTTTCGATGTTTGGAACTGCAATTGCGATGCCCGTCAGTGTCACCAAAGAAAGAGACCAACAATTCGGAGCTTCTTCGGTATCTAGAGAGGGTACTTTGAAACTATCAAACTCAGTAAGTCCCTTGAATCCTTCACAAGGTCTTGATAGTTCCAACAGTTCCATGAGATATTTCGGTTGTCTCTTCTTTGCTTTCCGCCTCCAGTAATCAGTAGCATCTCGATTATCCTTCATCATTAGCTCAACCAGCGATTCTTCACCTTCAAGATGTAAAACAAAACGACTGAGATCCAGCTTTGAGCTATGGGGTAACTCTGACCCTGAGTCATTTCCAATGCTGTTGTCAGGTGTGAATTTCATCAGCCGGTCTCTAAAGTAGTCGTAGCTTAACAAAATCACAGACATAATAAAAACCGAGATGAGACGAATTACTTTGCTGATGAACACAATTCCAGCCTGAATCCCAATACACAAGTTCAGACATTTGACTTTTGCATCATGGGCAATTCTCCTGCATAGCCGATTATGTACCGGTATGTTCAACGGGCACTCTTTCATCTCCACCAATATCCTAATCCAGTATTCTTCTAGTTTGTACCCTCTGGTGGTCTTACCTTTCATCTTGTTTCTCGTTGGACACCTGAAATTGATGGCAAGAAACCATCTCATTGCAGGGGCAATTGTACCCATCCCAACTGCAAAAGCCTGTGTAAGTAGCACTAAATTGATTGACCACTTATAATCAGAATCCCCCTTGCAGAACTTAAACGAACCCGGCATCAGATAAAACCGAACCATGGCTTCGGCTAACGTCGCAGCACTCAACAGACACAAGGCACCCGAGGCAGTACATGTAACTGATCTGCCAATAACAAACTGAGGACTACAAGTATGAGCCATCATCCAATATCTCATCAGCGCTTCTCTGAGCTTATCCTCTAATGACTTGTTGGTTTCATTGGCCACTGAGCATTCTTTCTGAGCCATTTCATACTTCTTTTTGTATTTAAGTTCTAAATAATGCTTAATCGTCGGAACGGTCAAAGCCGAAAAGCTTAAAACAATTAGCAAAACAAGCATGAGAAACATTATGACAGCATGCTCCAATTCAAACACAAAGATGACACCAGTACCAAGCTGAATGCAGATATTGACTACAACAGTAACCACAAGTATACCCAAAGCTATAATATTGGTAAGTATTTCTTTGTTCTCCATGGTTCCTATAGAAGGCATAGAGTTACCCATTACTGTGCAGATCAAGGCGGTGCTGCTGAGCTTCGCGAGCTGATCTTGTCCCCGAGGCATGGGAGTGTTCAAATCAACCGATAGTTTGACAGCCACGGTTATTATTGTCAACGAAGTGGCGTTGATGGTGAAGAATTTGCAAGGGAACCAGAGTTTCCAATGGCGGAATCCATGGATAACGTCGGCAGCCATAGCCACCGCACAGGCGAGAGACGCCGCTGCTATGTAGACACCGATCCACGGCAGTGGTTCACTGAACTTGGCTTCATTTAAAACCCCATCGACGCCGCACCCAAGCTTCCCCATCTTCTTCCCGGTGTTTAACTGTGTTGAGGTCCTTGAGGATGCATTTTTTTCTGTTAACCCTCCACCATTGAATTTTTTTAAGGTCTCTGTTCGTCTCAGTTTTCAAGTTTAATTACTGTTTTGGAACTTTGAGTAGGGAGGATTTGAACCGTTTTTGCTAGTGGGGATAAGGGTACAATTGGCAACTAAAATTGGTTGATCCAATGAATCTTATTCAAATTTGATACATCTTTAATTATGATAATGATGTCTGAATTATTTAGTGGCCGACTCTTTGGACTTATAGGCTATTATTAGCTAATGGCTGATGTTATTATTTATCTAATAATATTAATTTATTCTTTAATCATTTTTGTCAAATTTAGCCGTCTAGCGACAATTGTCAAAACGTGACAAGCCACACTGTTTGGGGGTGAATTGGGTAAAATTATATTAAATTAATATTAATATTTTTTTAAAATACAATATAAAAATTTTATATACTTAAAGTTTAGATTTGAATTTAAATCTAATTAAGTCGGTAAATATTTCGAGTTTAAATCTTTTTTGAGTTCGAATTTAAGTTCAACGTGATAATTTTTAAGCTTATGAACGTTTGAATCCATTGAATCCGGTCGAACTCAACTTAAACTTTCTGAATCGAAGAGAGAGAGAGAGAGGAGAGATACGGGAAATTTAAAACTTTCTAAACAGTGATTTTTCAAATAATAATATAATAAAATACTGTTAAAATAGTTAAATATATTTAATAAAATAAGTAAATTATTTTAATATTAAAATAATAATAATAAAATACTGTTAAAATATTTAAATATATTTAATATAATAAATAAATAATCTTATTTATTTGGCAATATCCCATTTAATATAAATAAACCGAAAATATATTATATATATTACTAATTTTATTCATCGGCTGTGAATTAGGGTTCTCAGATTGCAAAAAAAGAAAGGAGAAGAATTAGGGTTCTCTTTTTCGATTGATTCGCAAAGCAAGGAGGCCCCTATTTCAATCATCGTTAAGTGGCAGTAAAGGTAAGCGGACTCTTTTATCTTATTTTTGGATCAATAAATTCAATTTTGGGTATAATTGGAATCCCAATAAATTAATTAAATACCTTAATTACAATCTGGTTTCTCTTTGTATTGAAATTCGATTTGCTTCGCATCACCAATTGCTTTGCGATCTGAAATTCCTGTTCTTGTTGATTTTTTTTCTTGTTTGTAAGTGTAAACCTAAGTTCAGTTTCCGCGTTAGGTTTACAACCGGCTATTGCTTTTTGTTGACCTCAAATTCCGATTTTTAAATACCCTACTAAATTATACGCTGGTGATTTTCCATTGAATTTTAGAATTGAAGCTATGGGAGGCCATGGAGGGTTAAATATTTTGCCCCAGAAACGTTGGAATGTTTATAACTACGAGAACAGAGAAAAAGTACGGAAAGATGAAGAAGCTGCTGCAAAAGAAGAGCAGCTAAAACGTGAACAGGCAAGGAAAAGGGATGCCGAGTTCCGACTTGAGCAGCTTCGGGCTGCTCGCGGTTTGGCTCCATTAGATAAACCTGGAGGTTCAGAACCTGCTGCTGAAGAGCCTGAAGAGGTTGTGGAATCTGAACCCAAATCCGGTCACATTAATCTCTTTGAAGGGATAAAGATTTTTGATCCCGTTAAAGTCTTGGGGAAGGAAGAGGGTGCTGAGAACGATGGATTCAAGAGGAAGAAATTGAAGAAAGAGGAGGCACCCAAGGTTGTGGCGCCCGAGGATGAGAAGTATAGATTGGGATACGGGATTGCCGGGAAGGGAGTTAAGTTGCCATGGTACCTGGAGAAGCGGAATGTAGATGTTGAAGAGGGGAATGGCAATGATAGGCCAGAAAGAGTCCAGAAGGATGAGGGACGGAAAACCGGGAAGAAGACAATAGAAGAGTTGCGGGAAGAACGTTTGAAGAGGGAGAAACGTGAGAAGGAGAGAGAACGGGCATTGTTAATCAAGGGGACCAACACAAAAAGGACTCTGAAGGATACAAGGTTTTCCAGGAGGTGATATTGCAGAAGCCAGAGCTCATCAGTTTTATGTTTCCAAATGTTCAAATTTTAGAGTTGTATGCATTTAGGGTCTAACTCGCCTTTTGATATTTGTTAGAACGTCATTGATTGATGAATTTATTTAATATCAAATTTCACCATATTTTGTAATAGCTGCTTTTGATGCTTATGTGTGAACGTTACCATTTCTTTACCAAATTATTGCAAAATTGTATGCTCTGATGGTATCATTTGTTAGAATTGTAACTTCAATCATAGTTTAATCTTTGACTCTGTCCTGCCGTGCCATTATCTTGTTTCATGTAAGATAAGCCTAAGAATAGTGACATGTTATCCTTAGATAATCCAGATTTTCGAGTAGGCATTGTCAGTAAGGTTTATCTGAATTTAATTCGATTTAAAAATAGAGCAAATACTATCATGAGAATACTTAAAAAAATATGTATTTTCAAAATTATAACCTAAAGTTAGTTGAACAAGTCATCTCAATCTGATTAGGTGAAGGTCTAATAAGAAAGATTATAAGTCTAAATATATTTAATTTCTCTTAAATTGAGATAGGCTTTGGTCCCCGTTTCATGGTGCAAAGCTAAAGACAAAGTCGTCAAGGATGCTTTCAGAATTCTCAACTTAATAATATTCTGATGCACCATGCAATAGATTAAAATATCATTTGGTCCATTCCGCAGTTTAGCTTTTCCATTGTTCATTTATATCAACAAGTTTATTTAAGAAAAACAAAGCTTTTAACATTGATTATCATTATATATATATAACCATGTTGAGAACATGAAGGTCACAAAGGTAGAAGCTTGGTGGCCATAACATGCCAAATCTATCCAGTTCCTTCTTCTGAAGGGATTGATTGTTTGAAGCTTAAAAGATGTCATAAATTTCTAAGAATCCTGGTTGAGGGAGAGAGTTCATCATCGCAGACGGAGAGCAGAGACTTCGTTTCGACGGTTCTATGGCATCTAATACGAACACTCTCTTGCATTTTGAGGACCTGGCGCTCCCTTCGGTATGTTTTCTGGGTCACTTTCTTTATATCAAGTTTGTAGCCATCCTTTTTTTTTGTAGCCATCAATTTCCAGCTTTGCTTCATGATTGTCCGTGGTTTACTCTGCATAGTGCATATCATGTTATATTGTTTCCCAACCTTTCAGGGACAATACCTTTTGGTTTTCTTCATTGAGATCTGCAGATTTCTTAAACATAATTTTGGATGCTTCCTCAATGGTTCCGATGTTTCTAAATCGAATTTGTATAACGAAAAGGGCTAACTTTAAGCTTCTGCAAACTCGAAACAAGAATGGATAGTTTAATCCCAGTTATTGCAGCTGTGTGAATTGCACACATGAACTATTGATGTTTTAGAGTTGTAATTCAACTATTCAGAAATCACATTTGCATAAACTTCAGTTTCAGGTTATAGTGATGACTGCAAACATGGGGTGCGCTGAATGCCGAAAGAAAGTCTCAAGTTTTATCTAAAATAACTGGTAGGCACTTCTATTCTGGGTGTATGCAGTTTTTCATATAAACTTTGAGTTTTAAGTTTTTATAATTTATTTTATTAAAATAATATTATTTTATAACTTTAAAACATTATTTATTAAAAAATTTAACTCAATTTCATAAATGTCTCTCAAAATATTATCTTTCTCTAATAAAAAATATTAATAATTCATATATGATCTTTTGAAGTTAATTTAAATTAAATAAAAAACCTATTCCTTTTTTACTTGGATAATCATAGTTTTTAAATTTATAAATCATAAATCGTCCAAACATTTTGATTCACATCAGCTTTATGTTAATCGTAATTTGTTGCTCAGCCTACTTTTATGGGTAAACCTCATTATCACAGGAAGCTTCATTCTAGAATACAGGAAATTGATTTTTTTTTCCAAACTTGCAGGACTGAGGGAATACATAGTGGATGTCGGTAATAAACACGTGACTATAAAGGCAGATTTTGGGGTTCGTTGGGAAGTGAAAAATGATTTTTCTAAGACCAGAATGAGAAAGCATTGGCATCCACTTGATGTCTTCAAGTGTCTGTCCCCAGAATGTGTCGGGGAATGATGGCAAACCTGAGCTCTCCCCAAGTCCCAGAATGTTGGACACATTACTGTGTTTCATTTACATTTGTAATAATCAAAATCATTCTTTATGAAAATATAAATTTATCTACATGCACATGTTATTATTAGATTCAACATTGATAAATAACTTGAGCATCTATAAATAGGAACTAACAGTACCCAGTTTTGCTAATTTCCACAAACCTAACTAGTGAAAGCGAATTGAAGGTGAAGCAGCAGGCTCAAAGACCATTAAGTTCTCTTCCCTTTTCCTTCATCATACTTTTGACTTCTTAACGATATATCCCATAATTATGCCAAGCAAGCCGATCAAAATGACAAACATGACTGACAAGCCACCGCCGCTTTTACTGCCTTCACGCCTCAGAAGTTCCTAAAACGTTTTGAACCATTGTATGTAAGAAGTTCTGAAAAGACTCGGATTAAATGAACTTAAGAAACAAGGGAGCTTTTGACTGCAGTCTCCTAAGAATGAAATAAAATGTATTTGCCACGAACAAGACGATACAAGTTTTGAGAAATAGTGAAAACAAAGAGCTTTCCAATGCGTTCTCCTATAGACAGATTATTACTTAGTTTGATCATTCACAACGGAAGAAAAGGCAGGGAAGCACAGAAAAATTCCAGAATAACTAAAAAGCAAAATATGAAGTGTTTTTTGCTGCATACGCGCAAGCATCAGTCAAGAAGGAACTAGGGGAGGATAGAACAGATGATACTTCTATCATACACATTAATAATAATCCATATTGGTTAAAAAGTCATGGTCAATTTTCCCTCACCAGTTCTTGGCGAAGCTTGTTATTTTGTTGAATTGCCTTATTTTTTTCCTCAGTCAGTTTTGTTACAAGAGCTCTTGCCTGCAATTATAAAAAGTATCATCGAGGGTTATTACATTTGTGTTGAATCAACATCGCATGAAATGTACATCATTTAGTGGAAAAAAAGAAGCTTTGGGCTCCACTGATGCAAAATCTGGCTAAAATAATTGCCAGATGCATTCAATGGAAAACTCCATGTGATGCCTCCTTGCTTCATGGTGCAAATTACAAACTACTGAATCATAGCTTTAGGCTTAGAAGCTCACAAATATACCTAGTAGGTCAATACATTTTGGTCTGACCAATTATTCATCTAATGAGAGAGCAACTGAGCAAATGAATGAAGATAATTGACCTTAAAGATATGAAACTTACTATAGTCAGATTACCAAAATAAATTACTATTATCAAGATAAACTGAAATCAATCATGCATATGCAGAAACACTCAGTGAAACAGAAGATATAAAATTATAAATACCTTGGAAGACATATCTTGAGCTTCAAGCCCTTCGGTAAATGCTCTTGCACCCTGCATTCAGCAACGGAATGTAAACTATTACCAAAAGAATAAAGATAACAAGTAATAAAAAAAAAGCAGGAGAATCTTACTGAAGTAAACTCAGCAGCATTTGCATGCCTGCCATCTGAATCAGAGACTCCCGCTGAAGATCCCTCTTCAGACCCTTCTTGAACTGGTGGTGGAGAAACATAAACCACTCTCAATTTGCACTCCTCGACTACATGTCCAGCTTCTTTGTTGAACTATAACTCGAAACACTCCCCATAGATAATAAGCTGCACATATTTCCTAATGTTGAAATAGTAAATAAGATCATGTAAAATAAATAGTCACCAACCATTTCTGCAGTTATATCCTTTGCCGTTACACCATCATTCACTTTGACACTTTGAAGGAGGAATTTGTCCCTGCATTGCATATCAGGTGGAGCTTCCTTTTGCGCTTGCATTGCAACTAAATCAAAATCAACCATTGTATTAGAATTTATTCTGAATCCAATAATGAGTAGAGATAGAACCAGTAAAATATCAAGTAAAATACAATTAAATTAGCGTACCCATAACTTCAAATGTGGATCTAGGCAAGACGACCCCTGCGTTGGGACGAACGCAATACTTCTTTGGTTTTGTTGTTTTCACCTGAAAACAAAACCAATTGTAATCAAACGGCAACGCACAATATCAATTTGAGATTTAAACCTTAAAAATCAAAGATTTTCAGGTTCGAAATGTTGGTCCATTCGTTATTCCTGATTTTGTTCATCAACCAAGCTGAGGCTTACGGCGTCGCATTATTTAAGCGTAAGAAGATTATGATAAATCAAAGATCAAAGTTACAAAACTACATTGAAAGGGTAAGAAGATGCGTACCTTGAAAGCTACATAATTATCGGTTTTATTCGACAATTGAAGAAAACACGAGATCTGCTTCCCCGGCTCAACTATTCACCAAAAACACAAGAATACGAAGAAACAAATCAAAACAAAGCGAAAAACGTAGATATTGGAGGGAAAACAAATGAACATACAAGTAAACTTGAGCTCAGAAGGCTCGCTGGTGAGAAGTTCGCCCGTGCTCATTTGAGGAACAATCGCCTTGGAAAGGATCTGAAAATTAATACTGTGTTTGGCTTCTTTTTAATCAGTGAAGAACCAACCGAAGGAAAACAAATCTCCTCTCTTTCTCTCCTCTTATTGTTGGACTCCTTTTTCAGTTTTTCTTTTTCCTATTATTCTCATAAAACTACTGCTAATGATTGCTTTTATCTTATATAAAATCTTTTATATTCGTTATATAAAAAAAATATATAAATCCTTAGAATTCCTTATTTTAATAATAAAAAAATAAATCATAAAAACTTCACAATTTCTAGTAAAATTCCTTAAAAGGCCATCGTTTAAATAATAAATAAAATAAATTTAAGTCTCTGAACTGATAGGTTTTTCAATTTAATTGGAATATCTTTATTCATATTTACTTTTAAACTAAACAATTCCTTTTTTAATCCGTTTGATGATAAAGTATGCCGAATAATCACATCTCCAAGAAGAAAACAAGAATAAAAACAATTCAAGTGGTAGCTGCCAAGTTTCAAAAAGGACTTGGCCAACATGGAAATGGAATCGCCAATAGAAAGACTGGAACAAGCTTGCTGGCAGGGGAGCTCGTGAACCTTTTATCCTCCACCTTTAGTTCTTCGAGCAACAAAGGAAAATATGCATTCAGCTTGGTCATACTTATCGGTAAGTTTAAGCATTCAGATCTTTAATATGCTGTGCAAGCCCTCTAAGGACCTATCAAACCAAAACAGAAGCAAAGATCACTAACAAAATGATCTGATTACTAAGCGTAAAGTATTTGTGCCACTCACCATCTTGGTGTCCTCAAGAGCCATTTCCAATGCATCAATTTTCTGTCCCATAAAGATGATCAAAATCATTGGCATTGGATCTTATTTGTGTCGTCGGAGACAAGAGGTGTGAAATTGTACCTACTTTACTGGTCTCTGCAAGTGCAGCCTCCAGTGCCTTGAGCTCTGGTGCTGCAATTTTACCATTCACTGCGCTTTCCTCCTTTCTCAACTCTTCTTTAATTCTACCATTATCCTGCTTAGAGACGCTTACTGTATCATGCATCAAAGAATCTCCTGAAGCTAGGTCACCATTTCCTTCATCATTTCTCTCTTCTGTTGCAGAAATTGCCTGTATGACAACATTAAGGATCATATTGTAGTGGATTTGTGAAATCATGTTAATTAAGAATCTACCAAGTTGGGATTAACCTGAAGCATCTCTGTAATTTCCCGATTCTTCCAGGGCCCTTTATCACTAAGCAAGCAACCCCCATTGTCGGCACATGTACAGCTTCCGCCGAGAAATGTCGGCAAATTACTGTTGAGTTCAGGGCTTAAAATCATAAGTACATACATATTTGTGGACATACATGCACAACTGCCAACTTTGCTACATGAATAGTGTACATGAGGATGATGAGTTACCTAGGATCAATCACTTCAATTAGGTTGTTAAGGTAATTAGATCCCAGCACCTGAAACATCAATGTCATTTTCCCTTGTTCGAGAAGGAAATCACATATGACATATATATACACACTCAAATGCGACAAAGGAAATTGATTGCTGGAGTACGCACATGAATTTTCGCCAAGGTTCGTGCATCCATGAAGGCCTTGATGACCTTCCAAAGCATCCTGAACCCAGACCCAGCATTGACAATGAAGAGCTGGTTTAGGGTCTGCAAGAACAAATATAGTTAACCAAAATTACCCCAATAATATTAATGATTAATGAACATGACCTAACAAGTTCTGAGCTACGACTTATTCAAGAGTATAATTGGAAGAATTGGTTGTGTCTGCATACTGAACAAATTTCTACTGTGATAAAAGCTAATGGAACAGAGATTTGCCTACTAATTGCCAGTTACAACTAACATGCATCCTGATCCGAGCCTTTGGCTAATCGGTCAACACATCGTTGCTAGTAATCGGACCTTACAAGTTAACTATTCCCACAATCTTCTTCTCCTAGTTTATCCAATCTAAACCAGTGAAACAAAATGGATTTGAACTTACCTCTGGGTAGCAATTGCTGTCAATCTTCTGAATTTCCATGAAGAGATATCTTGCAGGCTTTGAGAAATTAGACATTCCCTTGACAGAAATAACACTCAAATAAATTTAGGACTCACTATTAGGAAGTATTCTCATAGTAAATTAGATCAATTATCATGCTCCAACATACTGATGTAAATATTGTCATAGAAAATAGGCCATATCACGAGTAAAAAAGCATTGATCTCGATCAATGCGTATCATAATATGATGCAACTTCCAGACATGATTATAGCAAGTAGAACTCTTCAGCAAGAAAAAGCAATATAAAGGTTTCATGTTTCTCCTTTGAAAGATGCAAGAGATTGGGGATGAAATTAAGAAGGGAATAGATGCTTACAACTCCCTTCACGTCTAAGATACTAGTGGTGGATGCTACATGCCTCTTGGCTGCAATTGAGCATGCAGGGAATCTCAAATTTAGAGTTTTCTCTTGTTCTGATACATGATACTTAACAAATCTGTCTATGCTGGTTACTTGTAGCAATGCATTCAGGTCTACCATCCCGACCCTTTCTATATATATCGGTCTACCAATTCGATCGACGCCATGAAATCCATGAGGGTAGCATTTCTTCACCTCTGCAAGCTCGTCGAACTTGAAATCCTGGATGGCAGATTTAAATGAGAAGACAAAGATATGTGGTGCAAAAACTTCATGCATAAAAAGGTAAGACATAGCTTGAACTTTACTTGCCTCGTGAATTGTATCAACTCCATAGTCCTTGCGCCATTGAAGATAATTCAGAAACATTTCTTTTGCTTTTTGCAGATCAAAATCTCTCATTCTTAGAAACCTAACAGATATATATATATATTTAGAAGGCATTCGTACATTCTTCCATTAATATGAACATTGTCATTCACTTTACCGTAAAAGTGTATGATAGTCATTGTGCTTTGCCGGTAACTGATCCTCAAGGAAGAGTAATTCGCGGAAAGACTGAACAATTTGTTCGTCTTTCGGATCGTGAGTTCCTTCTAGGATCGTTTCCATGCTTTTGCTCTTCCGGAGTCTCTTCAATGAATCACGAACCTTGAGTGGGTACAAAAGCACAGACTTAAGCCCCGATGAACTCGTCGGCTTCTTTGCTTCTTGAGGTGGAGGAGAAGGGAGGAGGAAATGGGTTTCAATCGGCGGATGAATCGGCTTGTTCATCACCTTCGGAAACTGATTTGTATCTCTACAGGGAGAGTCCTCATCGTCTCCTCCACTACCTCTTTCTATAACTATTTCCCTATATTTCTTATTTGATTTATACATATTCAACACACAAAAAAACACTTTTCAAGAAATGAAAATGGTATAAAACAAATTAAACAATCAATGTCCTAACCTGCTGCAATTACAACATATGTTCAATGTTCCATATACTCTTCTCCTGCGGTTTTCAGAAAGAACCTTAAACAAGAACTTCAAGTCTTAGCCAATGTGAAACGTCTAGAGAATTAAAAAAAAAAAGTGGGAAATTCTTACTTAAACAAAATCTATCGGAAATCAAAGTAAAAGCAATGCCAAAAGTGATGGCCAAGCTTTCAAGAGAATAAAACCATATGGGGGAAACAAATGAAGAGAAACAAACAGCAATGTATAAAGTTGTCCTTTATACCAAATATTCAAATTGTTAATGGAACAAGTGAATTCTGGGGGAAAGGAATGTGATGCTTTGGTGCAAAAATGTATGTGAATGAATAATCTTAATTGACAAGGAATCCTCAAACACCCTAAAAGCAAGTAACTCCACGTTTTACACGTATCATTCCTTGGTATTCCCCCCCGTCCTTGCCTACAGGAATTATACTTTGGTATCTCAGTTTCCTCTCAAAGCAGGAAAACGCTTAGCAGAGATTCAATATTGGCCCAGTGATTTTTGCATTTGGGTTTGCTCCAACCAAATTATTGTTCATTACCAAATATTATTTATACTAAAATTTAATCATAAAAATCAGTTGGCATTGTTTTAGTAATAAAAAATTATATTCAAATTGTATTTTTTTTAACTTAATAGTTTCCCTAATCAATATTGTTATGATTTTTTTCAAACCACACAATATGTTTGGTGAACTATAAATTTTCGAAGTTCAAAATGTTTCTATCAATTTTAAAATTCGTTTTAGACAATGATTAAATTAAAAGAGAATCTTTGTATAATCAGGACATACTCTATATCATGTTATGTTTTGTATTAAAATTATATACAAAATACACCATCTCAAGGACCTCATTAAAAAATCTCCTTAATCCTAAACGGAGGAAAAAGAGTGTGCCTTGAGATGGTAAATTACAAGGAACAAAATACAGCTATTGAATATATACGAAAGCAACACAAAACCTGCGCCTAGCCATAAACTAAGATCCAAAAACAAGACAAAGCTGAGCTTAACTCTAACAGATGGCGAAAAGCATTCCACAAACTTCCTGCCACGAGCTAAAGTAATAGCAAGCAAATACCAGTAAACTATAGTAGCAATCCAGTACCATTTGGAGCCTACTAGAACCGAACAGCAGAATGAAGCCCTGCAAAAATGAGTACAACGACTCAAATTCACCTCACAGGGACAAAGAGCAATGGATTCCTGGCTACGAACAAAATCTAGCACAATCGGATTCCTGGCTACGAATTATCAAAATATTTCAAAGAAAAGACAAAGATATTATTAATGTCAGGTAAGAATTTTAAAATAACAATTACAAAAGGTGAGGTGAAGTTGAAAACTTCTACAATGCGGCAGGCTTAATATAAGGTTAAAGAAAAACGTTATAAATTTTGTTATTATTTTTTTAATAAAATCGGTAAAAAAAATATCTAAAACATTAATATTTTTTAATATTTCCGATAAAGTGTCCAATAATAACAAAACCAGTAGAAAAATAACAAAACTGGTAGTATTTTACCGGATATGTTAACAAAACAGGTAAAGCGTTCAATAATAACAAAACCAATAGAAAAAATAATGTTTCAAATATTTTTTTTATCAATTTTGTTAAAAATAATAATAAAATTAATATTTTCTTTTCTTAACCGTATATTAAGTTATGACATTTGAAACTTTTCCGGTGAACTTTATTGCATTCAGGGTGTGTTTGGTTCACGGAATGTAAGATTATCAGGGGGAATAAAAGATTACCAGGTAATAGGATTACTGTGAATGTTGTATTTTGTGTTTGGTTGGTTGAGCAGGAATGTAAGATTACCGTGTTTGGTTAAAGGAATAAAAGATTATTGGAATGTATATTTAACCAAATTGTTCTTATTATATATTTGTTTTTTAACAAGTTGAAAAATATTTATATATTTTCTTTAAAAAATTTAAATTTAAAAAATTTAAATTAATAAAATTTATATAATTTTTTTACAAAATTGAAAATATAAAAATGTTTAATGAAAGGGTAAAATTTTATTTTAACCCCTAAAATTCATATAAAATTTTAATTATAGACTTTTTTTTAAATCTAAAATAGTTTAAGGATAAATTTGTAATTTAAACTTTGTAGAATTTTCATTATTCAATGACAGAATAATGATATTTTTTAAAGAAAAAAAATTAAGGGCATTTTAGTCCAAAACACCGGTAATCCAACAATACCTAAGGAAATGGAGGTAATGACATTCCCAGTAATATACCTAAAAAAATCTACTATTGATAATGTAAGATTACCGGGAATGACATTCTCGGCCAACTAAACGGGAGAATGTGGATTCCATTCCCATGAGAATCTCACATTCCCCCAACCAAACACACCCTTAAAGGTATCGTCCTTTTGTCAAAAGCATGATACTAATATCTCCGAGTATGAATGACGTATTTGTTATCAAAAGAATGTTACCGAAAAAAATCACTAAATAATAAATATGTATCATTATCTTGTTGAATTATTAACAATCGTTTCAGTGAAACAATCATAAAATTATTAGGGTAAACTATACGAGAGATCACTAAACTATAGTTAAAAATTAATTTGGCCATCAAAGTTTCAATTGAATCAATAAAACCACCCGACTATTTAAATGTTTCAATCAAGCCACCTGTCGTTAATTTTAAACGGAGATGGTGACTTGTCCGTTAATAAAATTGGCATAATTCTATATTTAGTCCTTAATATTTATATATTCTATCAATTTAATCATTATTTTAATATAATTAAATAAATTTAACTATCTAATTAAAATGTGACACGTGTCAATATATGATTAGAATGTTTTATTTATGAATTTTAAATTATTTAATTAAATAATTTTTATATCCATTCAGATGATGGCACGTGTCACCATGAAAATAAAGGTTAGTTCTCCTCTCGCCTCACCAATTGTCAAATGGAAACCGCCCCCGTTGTCTTGGGTCAAAGAAAATTTTTATGCCAGTTTCTTGCATGGAAATCAACTTGCATGGTCAGGGGTGATTATACGAGATGTAGATGGGTTAATTTTGGGTGCTTGTCGAAGGAAAGTTGACATAATCACCTCGAGTTTTGTTGCGGAAACGGTGGCTGCTCTCCATGCGGTTCGACTGTCTCTTGATCTGGGTTTTACCCAAGTCATTGTAGAGGGAGATTGTCGCTCTGTGATACAAAGCTTGGCGTCGTCGATGGCGGACAGGTCAAAAATTGGCATATGGGTTCATGAGGGGAGGAAACTAGCTACGCCCATTCGTGCATGCCGGTTTCAACATGTTCCTCGCATCGGAAATAAGGCGGCACACCTCTTAGCCTCCTTTAATAGTACTAGTACATAGGATTAGTTCTGGGTAGAAGAAGCCCCACACCGCGTGCTGGTTTAGGTAGATGAAGATCGCCGTTGGATCTACCTTCTCAGTTGACGGGGTTATTTGATGCTGCTGTGCAAAGGCTCCATCGTCTTTTGCTGGGTTTTCTTGCTGCTCGCCGATGGTTTCATTTCTTGTGCAAGGAAACGAATGGTTGCTTTGTTGAATTCTTTAGTTTAATTTTTGTTCTGTTTCAGCGTTTCATTTTCCTTTTTGTTAAAACTAAAATTGGGTGTGACACGTGTCATCACGTAAGAAAATTATTTAATTAAATAATTTAAAATTTATAAATAAAACCTTCCAATCATGTATTGACACGTGTCACGTTCTAATTAGATAGTTAGATTTATTTAATTGTATTAAAATAGTGAAATTGATAGAATATATAAATATTAAGGATCAAATATATAATTATGTCAATTTTATTAACGGACACGTCACCACTTTCATTAAAAATTAACGGTCGATGGATTGATTGAAATATTTATATAATTAGATAATCTGATTGATTCATTTGAAACTTCGGTGGTCAAATTAATTTTTAATCATAGTTTAGTGGTCTTTCGTATACTACAACAACAACAACAAAAACAAAACCCTATTCTCATATGTAATGGGATTAAGGGGAGGTAGGGTAGTAGGCTGTCCCTAACGCCAGGTTGAGAGCAGCTTCCGTGGAAGACCTCCGGCAGTCAGAAAAATTTAAAAATAAGATAAAATACAATGCATGTATAAATAAATAAATACATAGTTAAACAGTTTTCATATGCAGTCTTCATATGCGCGTCTATAATGAGAAGTTATCCCTGCATACAAATCTCTGAATATAGACAAAAAAAACGTGAGTCCCGAATAAATTTAAAAGACGAAACATGATAAGGATATACAGAAGTCAGTTGTTGCAAGCTACGATAAAAAAATGTCAAATGGGTTAAAACCTAAACTAATGCAACACTACTCCGCTATCCTAGTTTTAATCCTTCAAAAATTCCCATGACAGAAACATATTAAAAGTAGAAGTCAAGGAAATTACTATAAAGGCGTTAAAAAGAAGGCAGAGATGCTACACCCTATGACTGTGACCCACACTACTCTGCTACCCTAGTCTTAAGTCTCCATACTTTCCTATCAGAGGTCATGTCCTCGGTAAGGGCTAAATCCTTCAAATCAGATCTCAAGCAGTCTACCCACTTCCTCCTTGGTCTTCCTCTCCTTCTGGCACCGTCGACTATAATCGACTCTACCCTCCTGACCGCATCCGACTGTTGTCTCCTAAGGATATGCCCAAACCACCGTAGTCTTCCCTCCCTCAATTTTTCGGATACATGCATCACCCCCAAGGACATCCTAATTGCAAAGTTTGGAGTCATTTCCCACAGAGTCTTATCACATGTCCATCGAAGCATTCTCATTTATGTGGCCTCCATCCTCCTTACGTGATCCTTCTTGGTTGCCCAACATTCTGATCCATACATCAGCGCTGGTCTTATTGCAACTCTATAAAATTTTCCCTTAAGTTTTAGAGGCACCTTCTTGTCACACAAAACTCCTGTAGTTGCCCTCCACTTTAGCCATCCCGCCTTTATACGGTGCGTTACATCATCATCTACACCTCCATCTTTATGTATCATAGACCCTAGATACTTGAAACAATCCTTAGAGGGGAGAACGTGTCCTTCGATGCATACGTCTACATCTTCATCGTTTTGGTTCCCACTGAAGTTTGAACATAAATACTCTGTCTTTAGTGTACGCTAATTATTATTATGTGTGTCTTATTTATGCCCAAATAAGGATTTTGCATCTTTGACAAAATGAAATTGTACATGTCTCGGTGAAATTCATTCCTCTAATTTTTTATCATCTAAATTATTGAGCTTGATGAAATTACTCTGTCAAACATCTAAGGTTCTCTAGGATCCACGTAAGAAGTTAGAAACAGTCAACATCCTTATCATGAAAATACTTGAAATCAGATACTTAACAATTATATTCTAAATATTAAAGAGATATATAAATAAATTACGATATGAGTTGAGAATCAAACATGCTTCGTTTTGGTACATGAATACGTTCATCGAGCTTTAGAGAATGGCTGTCAAACTATTTTATTCTTTTAGAAATTCACTAATATAATATATAAAATAAATTCAAATCATAGACACGCGAGTCCATATCTTAATTTAATTTATATAAGTTGAATCACGTATGAGTTTTATAATTAGTATTCTTATAATTATTTAAAAATATAAAATTTATTTTTTAAATATTTCCATTTTCATCACACTAATAAATAATGATTCTCTGTTAGTCGAAAAGAGCACAGAAAAGTAAGAGTCCAGATGAGGACACCCCAGTTGCCTTTGCCCCTATTAAATTCCTAAAATAAAAAATAGGATGATTAACGCGTATTTTATATTACAATTCATATACTCTTTACGCAGTCAAAAAGACAAAACAAACCCCCTAACCCAAATCATCCCCGTCTTATTTCTTCATTCCGACGACTGTGTCCACTAGGGCAATCGCGTAATTCTGATCTCCCTCTTCAGACTTGACTTTTCCACTTTAGAGTTTTTAGTGGCCCTTTCTCACTTCCAAAATCTTTTTTTTTCTTTTCTTAATATTATTATTATTATTATTATTATTATTATTATTATTATGCTACCATAAAAACCTGTCTAGGCATCTAAAATTTTTAAATTAAAAAATAAAGTAATTCTTACTGCTTTTACGTACATTTAAAAAAAAATTATACCCCTATACTACTTTTGTTTTATTATTGTCCACCGTCACGACTACTTCATCCAATTGTGATTAAGGGTTAATTCAATTTTGTCTTTAACAATTATAATAAAAAATAATTTTAAAGAAAGCTTTTAGTAAAATATTAATTACATAAAATGTCACATAGACAGATGCCAAGTTACATATTCTTTTAGAATTCTTCTAACGTAATCAATTTAAACTATTTCATTTATAAATAATAAATATTTTATAGTTATAATTTGACCAATTGAACAAAAATTATAACTTATATTGTTTTATTCTATTATCTATATCCATTATAGATTTTTTTATAGTAAAAAATTTTAAATTATAATTATTTTAAATATTCTAAATAATTAAAATTTATAAAACACATATTTAAAAATTATTTTATTGAAGTTTCCTAAAATATATTTTTAATATTTTAAAAAAATTCAATACAAAAATAAGTGCCTAAACTATATTTAAAATTGATTTAATTTTTTTTACTAAAATTAGGTGTCTAAAGTTTTCTTTGTTATACTTTTAGGTATCTATCGTAAAAAAAATTATTTAAGTGACACGTGTCACATTTATATTTGTCTAATTTTTTTAAAAGGTATTATTTAAAAATGTTTTTTAAAAAATCTAAACATAATACTTTTTTTAACGATAGATACTTAAAAGTGGAAAAAAGAAAATATTTGATGCCTATTTTTAATAAAAAATTTCTTTAAGCATCAAAAGTGAATTTTAAACATAATTTAAATATTTATTTTTATATTAATTTTTTAAAAATAATAAAATTTAACTGATAAAAAGTTAAAATTAAAATTAAACTATAATTTTAAAAAGTTAATAAACAACAATTTTAATAGAATAGAGAGTGTTAATGTTGATATTAAATTTAATAAAATTAAAAAGCTAAACTTTTTCCTTTGAAGCAAAAAGTGGATTTTAATGATTCGTAAGGTGAATTAATAAACTTTTATATGGCAATAAAGCAAAAGAAAAAAAGGAAAATGGTAACGAAAATATCCAAAATCCCCACTTGTACTTCCCCCTCAAAGAGCTTTCCTTGTCTGCTTCCTTGGTAGATAGCTTTTATTCTCCCCTATTTATATGCTTTAAGAATTGCCATCCAAATCCATGCTGTTTCCTTTCTACCATTCTTAGAGGGAAAAAGGAAGGAGAGAAACAGAAACGAATGGAGAGACGAAACTGTGCTGTTACATTCTTAAGAGTCTTGTTGGTGTTGATGGCGGCGGTGGAAACGACGGCGCTTCACGGGGTTAAACCGAGGGAGAAGGATCACCGGAACGCTTATGCGACGATGATGTACATGGGGACGCCGAGAGACTACGAGTTCTACGTCGCCACACGTGTCCTGATCAAATCCCTTGTTAAGCTCCGAGTAAACGCCGATCTCATCGTCATTGCCTCCCTCGACGTTCCCCTCCGTTGGGTTCGTGCCTTGTAAGAATCCGTTTACGCTTTTTATTTAGTCTCTTTTAAATGCTTTTTATAGAGTTTCATAAAGAATAATATACCGAGCTTCACCTCGTTAATGAACAGTGGGTTGATGTTCAGTGGATAATGGAGATTGGATACCCAAGCTCAAGCACTAGAAATGGAAAACCCTTTAATCTACCATTCTTTTTTTTTCTGGTTCAAGCTGTAACGTTGGATAATTTCTTCATTAATTACCTTAAAAAAAATTAATTAATACAAGGGAGGAAACATAACAGTTGCTGGGCAGAAAAAAATAGGTTAAAGTCCACTACAAGTACCTGTACTATATAAAAAAATCTATTTTACTCCCTATAGCATAAAAATCAATCCTTGTATATTTGAAAAAAAAAGAAATATATTACCCTAAATTATTAAATTTATAGTGTAAATGTAATATTAGTGTAAGTAAAAACAAAGGAATTTAAAGTTAGAAGTAGCACATATTACATTTATATTTCATAAGTGTTTAGAAACTTTTCACAATAGTTATAGAGATTAATTTATTTGAGTTGGAAACTGAGAGAGACCCAAAGAGTGTTTATACCAAAATATTTATATTTACATTTACTTTTACCAAACGCACAAAGATTGAAATGCTAATTTTTTTATATTAGAATGACTAAACTGAGCTTTTTGGTATAATACATGAACTTGTATAGACTTTTAACGAGAAAATATCTATGTACTACTAATATATTTTTTTAAAAATAACTTTTCTTATGAAATAATAATAAGATGGACGGGTAAAATCTAATTTTAGAATTGTTCAACTACGTGTCAAACTGCTGATAGAAAACACTGTCGGCAACTGTAAAGGCCGGCCTTTGAGTTGGATAAGACTTAGGGTCGCTTGCAGAAAGTCAACTACCGGTAAGAGCCGGAGGACTTGGGGTCATGCACGTTATCATTTTTATTTTATTTACGTTTTCTTTCATTCCTAGGCTACTCTAGGATTCAAAACAGGTGCTTTTATTATATTCGTTATTAAATATAAGTCAAACTTAGATATTAAAACAAACCCACATAATTATATATTTTTTTGTTCAAGCATATATATATTCAACAGAAATAATGTATAAAAAGATAGAGTGGAACCTAGTTAAGGATACATTTCCCCGCATAAGCACACCGCCCATTATAACTTTATCTGAGGGTGGAAGCATTTGGCCGGGCAGATCCACGGTATTGTATTGGTCAAGTAACAACGAGTAGTTTGTTTAGTCTTGTAAATGAACCGAACGTACACGAACGGAGGTATGTTCATGTTCGTTTATTTAATAAATAAACGAATACAAACATAAACTAACAAAAAAATTTGTTCATGTTCGTTCATTAAGGAATATAGCTTGTTCATGTTCGTTCATTTAAATGATAAACGAACGAAAATAAACGAACATAATAAGTGAACATAAACGAACACAATAAATGAACATAAACGAACACAATAAATGAACATAAACGAACAACACAAACACAAAATACAAACTTATTCGAACACAACAAATGAATGTAAAAAAATGTAAACAACAAGAATAACAACTTAAAATTCATTAATATAACATGCAACTTTAAAGTTAATTTGTTCGAATACGACAAAAACATACATAAATCATAAATAAGTTATATGAATATAATAAAGTCTTAAAGTTAATTTGTTCAACAAAACAATCTTCTTTAAATCCAAACAACTTCAATAATCTTCGTAACACATTCAACTTGCCCTCTGTTCGAACGTAAGCGAACATATAATTGAACGTTCACGAACGTAAATGAACGAACGAGCTCTTTGTTCGTGTTTGTTCATTTAATTAAACGAACGCAAAATCTTGTTCATGTTCGTTCATTTAATAAATAAACGAACATAAATGAACTTCCCGCCACACGGTTCATGAACGGTTTGCTGAACGTTCAGTTCATTTACAGGCATAAGCTTGTTAGATGTGTGATGGGTCGCGTCAACATTTTCTAAAAAAAATAGGTATAATGTGAAATTTAACTCCCAGCATTTATTAAAATGATTATTTTGTATCATATTATATATTTTTGGAACATTTTAGCCTCAATTTTTCATTTTAGGGTAAAAATATCCCTACCATTTGACAAAATAACAAATCCTTTATTATTTTTCCCGGGACATTTTAACTCTCAACATTTCATTTTAGATTAAACACTCTTATTTTATAGCGCTAATCATGTGTTAATTAATGGCTTCAATCTATAGATGAAGCTTTTTTTCCCTAAAACCAAACCTTGGGGCCAAAATGATTATCTTGGTAAACGTTAATAGGTATTATGCCAAAAAATATGTCGAATAAGATATATATATATATTATTTATAAATTTCAGATTTTTTAAATATGAGAATAATACTTCTCTCTTCTCCAAAACGTGACAGATACGAGACCCTCTTTGAAAACATGCCCCCAATTGTTGTCATATTTTGGTGTCTCTCCTTTCGAATACATGATGGTCTACGACTATAATGTTCCTTATTATAATGAAAATGGTGATGAGGATCTGTGTTTTTTTTTTGTTGTGGTATAGGGAAGAGGAAGATGGAGCAAAGGTGGTGAGGGTGGAGAACATTAATAACCCGTACAATGGTCAAAAGAATTTCGACAAGAGATTCAAGTTGACACTGAATAAACTATATGCTTGGAGTTTGGTGGACTATGATAGAGTTGTGATGCTAGACGCAGACAATCTTTTCCTACAGAGAACCGATGAGTTGTTCCAATGTGGGCAGTTTTGTGCTGTGTTTATCAACCCCTGCATCTTTCATACTGGTCTCTTTGTGTTGCAGGTAAAAAAATCGATCTCCTTATGTAAATGGTTCATTTCAAGTTTTGAAACTGTGTTTTATGAGCAAATTCGGGTTCCTAACAGAAAGTTATGCGCAGCCATCGTTGTATGTATTTAAAGACATGGTTCATTCACTGGATACTGGTAAAGAAAACCCTGATGGTGCAGACCAGGGATTCATTGGTGCCTACTTCCCTGACTTGCTCGACCAGCCAATGTTCCACCCACCTTTAAATGGCTCCAACCTTGATGGGCAATACAGGCTTCCACTGGGCTATCAAATGGATGCTTCTTATTATTGTGAGTAAATTGATCATATTAAAATGGTACAATGACAAAATTAGCCCCAACTGTTTATAGAAATAGTCACTTTAGTTCCTTTTTTTGGAGAATTTTAAACCCAACGTTTCTAATTTTGGTTAAAATAACAATTGTTGAATGAAAACCGTTAGTGCTTAATTGTTGATATGTCACATGTATGTGATTAGATTAAGTGACATGACACATATCATGTCAACAAATAAGCACATGTAAAAATGTCACATCAGTGTCATGCATTTACTATTGATTAGCTAACAAGTTTTCATTCAACATGAACCATTTTGACTAAAAATTGAAACATCGAGGGCTAAAATGCTCTAAAAAGAATAAGGATTAAAGTGACTATTTTGATAAATGTTGGGGCTTATTTTGACATTATGCTACTAAAATGCTATAATGATTCCGAGCTGCAAATCTAACATCAACCAATGTTTTGAATTTTTTTTTTCTGCTGGCCATAAGATCTCAGACTTCGCTGGAGAGTACCTTGTGGACCGAACAGTGTGATCACTTTCCCCGGTGCACTATGGTTGAAGCCATGGTACTGGTGGTCTTGGCCTGTCTTGCCTTTAGGCATTCAGTGGCATGAAACTCGTCGTCAAACTCTAGGCTACGCGGCTGAGATACCGATCGTAATGATCCAAACCATTATCTTCCTCGGAATAATAGTAATGACTCGACTAGCACGCCCCAGCATCCCCAAACTATGCTACCGGCACTCGGACAAAACCACGTCCTTGATCCAAATCGCCCTAAAGCTCGTAGCAATCTGGTCGATTCTCGCGGCCTATATAGTTCCCTTCGCTATTATTCCTCGCACAATTCACCCATTAGTAGGCTGGACGCTGTATTTCCTCGGCTCCATTGCTCTGTCATCGATAACGATCAACTCGTTCTTGCTGCCTGCCATTCAAGTTTTCGTGCCATTGATTGGGATTTTTGGTTCTCTTCTGGTCATGGCATGTCCCTGGTACCCTAATGGAGTTGTAAGAGCTTTAGCTGTTTTCGGCTATGCGTTTTGTTTTGCTCCTATCGCTTGGGGTTCGGCGGTTAAGGTCTTGGCTCGTCTTCATGTCTCGCTTGAAAGGGAACAGTTTTTCCCAAAAATGGCTGAATCTTCACCACCTCCGGGCTTCAACAAGTTGTGCTGAGACTTGATATATCGTGCAATGAAACAGGGGAATTGAAATAGGTTATTTTTGGTAATATATTGTTTTTATCAGTTAATTCATTTCCTTATCACTGTACAATCATGTGTAATTGAGCTTTTAGGTTCCACTATTTTTACTCTTCTTTATATAATATATAGGTCAAATTATGATTTCCATCCCTATACTTTGAATTGATACACAAAAGCCCATATAAGATACCCATGGGTTGTTTTCATCAACCGCAATGAATAATGACCTTCATCAATGCAACTTGCAAGAGCAAATGCATGGCCATGATTTTAGCAAAAACCTGTCGAGATATGGAAACCATACCAGAACTTTAAAAAGCAAAAGATGCAAACTTTACTAGCATATGTTTAGGTGGGTCCAAGCCTATAATCAAGCCAATCAAAACCAACGACTTCTTTTTCCATAAAATCAATGACTTTTGGAGTTGGGTGTTAATGAATTACTAGCTTTTGAAGTAAACACAAGAATGGATTTCATTAAGCTTGACTTACAAAGATCGCATATAGCATTTTTATATCTCCTAATCACCTAGATAACAACCATAATAACCTGCAACAACTTGCATAACAACAAACAATAGCAAACCATTTTTGTAACAGAAAACTCTCTGTTGCTCATACAAACACTACACACGCAATGCATAATGAATGTTGCTAACTTTACACACACTCAACACATTAACTAACATTCTCCCTGCTTTCTTCTTCTCATTTTTTCTAACACGGCTGAACATGAACCTTCTCTCGAAACACATGAAATGATGCTTTGGTCAAGGGCTTAGTGAAACCATCAGCAAGCTGAAATCCAGCAGACACATAACTCACTCGAAGTTGACTTGTTGCAACATTCTCCCTAACAAAATGAATATCAATATCAACATGCTTTGATTTTGCATGATATATTGGATTAGCAGAAATAGCAAATGCACTTGTATTATCACACCAAATGATAGGGTCATCCAGTGATTGTAAGCCAAGATCACGCAACAAGGCATCAATCCATGTTACTTCTGCATCAGCTTTTGTAACACTACGATATTCTGCCTCCATGGTTGAACGAGACACTGTTTTCTGTTTCTTCGAGGCCCAAGTAACAAGACAATTACCAAGGAAAACACCATAACCAGACATAGACCGTCTATCTCCAGCATCACCGGCCCAATCAGCATCAGAAAATGCTTTCACACTCAGTCTAGTATCCTCAACTGAGAAAACTAACCCATATTCTAAGGTGCTGGCCAAATAGCGTAGAATACGTTTAACAGCTAGCAAATGCTTCTCATACGGTGCTTGCATAAAATGAGCCACCTTTTTAACTGAAAAAGCAACATCAGGTCTCGTATGACAAACGTATATGTAACACCCCCAACCCGTACCCGACCCGGATACGAGTCCGAGGTGTCACATTGACCAGTAAAGCATATACTTTTATAAAAACCATAGAAAATTTAAAACTTCTATTCTATAAAGTAATTCTTTTACATAAACATGTTTAAAACCTTAACATACTCCATCAGAGCATACATATATAATAACTTAGTTACATGCCAACATACTAAATTATATGACAAGACATACTTTACAAAATATTTCTGATCTGAACTTTGTGCGGAGATATGCTGCTCTACGGATCCGAAGCTTGATCTTCTGACTGATCCACACCTACGTGTAAGAGACTTACACGCTAAGTCATAGACTTAGTGAGACATGTAAATACATAAAGTAAACTAATAAATGCATGAACATCTTATGTAATACATATGATACTTATATATCTATTGAACCCATCACTTACAGGTTTATCCTTACTTATTTCATTGTCATTAATTCAATTCCATCATATGAGCATATATTGAACATAAACGTATAATATAATTTCCAAACACAACAATACATGAATAATTACTATGATTATATCATACATAACCATATAACATATAATATCACCATTACACATATGCACTTGTTACCATTATTATCATATGATCCTAACTTATCACTTATACATATCACATATACCATTTCATCAAAAACACACATATCATTATATCAAATTATGTTTTCTTTTCAAAGCCCATTCATACTATTGAGAACTTAAGGTATGTGAGTACATAGAGGTTGTGCACAATGTTGTCACCACAGCTTGTACAAATCCCACTAGGGGCGCGTAGAATTTGTCCCGTAGGACCACTGTGTCCCGAAGCACCACTATGTCCCGAAGCACCACTATGTCCTAAAGGACCACGTAGAACCCTCGACTATTGGCATGTCAACTATACCTATAGCTCTCATAACACATGACATGGGTATTACTTTTTATATCTTTTCACATATTCATGTAGGCACATAGTTCACTTTCACATAACATATTTCCATGTAATTCACATTCACTTATCACATAACTTTTCACTTTTACTTGTACTCCTTTTCACATAGTTCATAGTCATGATTCTTATCTCATAACACATTTTCGCATATACATGTTCTCATATAATCCCTTCATTCAATTAGAACATCTAATCTATCTTATTATACTAACATGTATTCATATCATTCATTTCACATACATAACATATCATATAACATTCTAATAGAAACACATATGAGTCATATTACTTTCACATATATTTTATCATATATCTCATGATCACATGACCTATTATCATAAATACATGCATTTACATAGTTCACACATAAAGATGCATTCAACAATTAGACATATGTATTTACTCATATACCATACATCTAATACCATATCACTACATGTTTATGCTTTAGTACTTATATCATATAATATCGAAATTAGACTCACCGCAAGTCTTAATTCCTTAACATAACGTACTCTTACTACCATGTACTCACCTGGTCTCAATTAACACTCTTAAGCTCTTGTTTTCTTTGTGTATCTTACTCTGCAGACCTATCCGAACTTTGCTTTTGATCGATGTCTACACAATCATATATTTATACTATCAGTATCTCATTGATATACTATAATCTATAATTTCTTAGACTGAAAGAAAGATTTATTCCATTTCCCATTGAAGTGCATCGGTACATTCTACATTGTATCGATGCATTCTTTAACATGTGCATCGATGCACTACCCATGCATCGATACACAAATCACCTTCGATGTTTTCATTTTAAGGGGTTGCGATGCACTCCTTATGCATCGATGCACTAATGGCATTCGATGTTCAATTATTTGAGAGTGCATCGATATACATTGAAGATGCATCGATGCACACAACCCAGGAATTATATTTTGAGCTTGAAAATTCTTACTTTGTCTTCAAATTCTACTTATTAACCCCTTCTTATGCTTTAAAACTTATATATACCTATATAAACCTTCTTATAACACTATAACACTTCACTATCCCTCATAATTTACCATAATTCTTGAATTAAATAATTTCATCAAATTTTCCATGTGTTCTTAGTTCAATTCTATCACCTCTAACTTCTTAATAAACCCTTTGACAAGTCAAATCTATCCTTAGAACTTCAAAAACCTTTCTATAATAAAAGTTCATTTCTAAACTCTTAATATAAATTCCTTTCTAATTCTCTATTCTTGGTGTTTTAAACTTATATAAGCTTTCCTTAAGCCTATATAACACCCAAAGAATAAAAACCTACTTATAAATTCAAGAAATCAACATTAAAATAAAACTTACCCTTAACAATGGAAGCCAACGTAAAGAAGGAAGAAGAAGAAATAAGCTTTCCAGAAAACTCTCCCCATCCCCACGTGTAACTTTCTAAATAAGGGAGATAAAATATCTTCCAAGCCAAATTACCATAATAACCTTATAATCCTTTCATATTTACCCTTTATCCAATATTGAAATATTCTTATAAAAATCCTTAAACTTTTTAATTTCCTAAATTGATCCCCAAATTTCAAATATTCTCATTTTAGTCACTGACCCGAATTTCAGGATGTTACAAATCTCCCCTCCTTTAAAGAAAATTTTTCATCGAATTTTCACTTTACCTTGAGATGAAAAATCCTTTATAATACTCAACAATTCTTATCTTACCCTTACTATTAACCTTTATTCATATACAATTCTCCTTCGATACTCAATATATATATATATATATATATATATATCTTTCTTACTCATTCCATAAACAACCTTCATACAACTTATTTACTTGGAAATCATATACTATTAATTCTTAACAATTCATTATTTCTTGCTTCCACTCAAATCTTCCCATTTATCTTTCTAATTACCACTTACTGAATACTATGATGATTCCCAAATCTATTAAAACGAAACTATTTTACCACGATATCGAAATTTACCTGCCAAAATCTTTGGGTCATCGAAATCTTCATCAGTCCTTAAATTATAAATTTGGGCAGGTGGTTGCATATCATATTGAGTGAATGACTCCGATAGATTTCTTCTACGACCTCTACCTCTATTTCTTTGAGATACCTCTATAGATCTTTCTCTTTGTACTGTCTCTTCAGTAATAAGTGGACAATCTCGAATAAAATATCCAACATCACCGCATATAAAACAGGCTCCTGAAATTATTCTACACACTTCTGTATGATTCCTTCCACAATATAAACAGTGCCTGACTTGACTGAGATTTGATCTTCTATCAGGAAAAACATTTGATTCCAACATTTCCTAAGTTGGAGAATCTCATTCTCTATTTTTCTTTGATGATGAGGAACTCGACGAAGCACCCATTCTTTTGGACTTCTGAACTTTATGTTCTTTAAATATTTCATTATGAGCTCTCTCTAGAGCTTTAGCTCGATTAACCACTTCTTGAAACGATGAAAAATTCAAAGCTATCAACAACTCTCTTAGCCTAGGGCGCAAACCCTCCACAAACCAGTCACTCACATCGTTCTCAATCGGAATAAGTTCATCAGCAAAACAACTTAACTTATTAAACTCACATTCATATTCATACACTGTATAATTCCCTTGTTTCAAATTCAAAAATTATTGTTTCATC